GAAGAAGCAGATGGAGGGTTTCGAGCTTATACAAGATATGCAACAAGCAATAAGTTGCGAAGAGAAGTCCACACAAAACTTAGTAAGGAAATAATCAGAACACTAATGCCACAAATGGCAAGAGACATAAGACTGCACTATTACTGAAAAAACACAGGTTGATGTAATGAAAGCTTAAAATAAAAAAATTAAGTCAAATTTAGTTAAATTTAGAGCATTATGTATAAAATGAAGTGATAATGAATATAGTTAAATAAATGATTGATAATGATAATAATGCATATACATGTATTGGTTTGATAAGAGGAAATTTGATATAAATTGCAAATGGTGACTACAAAAGGAGGTTTAGAAACTCTGTTATTAAATATAACCAATTTTTATTTAGAACATGTTATAAAGATATAATGTTACTGGATCATATTGGGAAGAGCTAATGAAATGCCATTATGTGGTTTTGCTTTAAAGCTGGAATATTTTATATAAAAGGACGTGAAAACAATTATAGTCAAATGAAGGTTGATGTATGATGATAGTAATATATATATTTGATTTAAAATATATGATTTGATATGAATTGTAGGTGATGACTGTGGAAGGGATGCACAGAACTTTTTGTAACCAATCGACACACTTTCTACAATTTGTAATGGAAAAAAAAAGATTGTTTGCAGGGCTTACTGACCTGGTCTTCCATTCTTCTACCTCCTTGATTCCCTCAAAAACCATTTGGCCTTGCCTAAAGACCCTTGGATATCTTTTATCCAAGAATGATCAATGTTCCAATAATGTGAATGCAGTTCATAGCCTCAGAGAACACTTTTGATCTATCTAGCCCAGAGGTGGTATTCAGCAGGTTCTAACCAGTTCTGGAGAACCAGCAGCGGAAATTTTGAGTAGTTTGGAGAACCAGTAAATATGAACTTTTGATTGGCTCCACCCCATCTATTCTCTGCCTCCTGAGTCCCAGTTGATCAGGAGGGAATGGAGATTTTACAATATTCTTCCCCTGCTACACCCACCAAGCCAAGTCATGCCCACAAGCTAAGCCATGCCTACCAAGCCACTCCCACAGAACCAGTAGTAAAAAAAAATCATCCCACCACTCATCTAGCCAATACTGGGAGAAGTTTTTCAGGATTTCAAAATATTGAAATATTGCCTTGTAACTGAAACTCTTGATGCTAATATTTCCATATGAAGCTTGAACTCTGTTCTGGCCAGTAGTATGCCAGGTATAGATTAGGACAAGTCTTTGACCCATTTCTCTAACATAATCTGGATGGTGTGTGTGTGTGTGTGTGTGTGTGTGTGTGTGTGTGTGTGTGTGTGTGTGTGAATAATGGTTAAGGACTATTTTTAGAAGTGCATTCGATCAGGTCTCTCCAATGAAGATTGACGTTTACATTTTTGGCATTTATAAAGCTTGTAGAAAGCCACATTAATATGGATGACTGGAAATATATTCCATTAAAAAGTTATTGATTCTTATTTTTAATGGATGCATGTGCAAAGAATGCAATGGCCAACATGCACATGGTCTGAAAATTCCCATAATATGGAACATCCATAAATTTCAGAAGCAAGTGACAAAGTACTTATATATTAGTACGTATATTAGGTAAAGAAGATCTCACAATCAAAAACAAACAAAATCACATAAACTGCTCTAAATATTGAATCCATTGCCCAAAATGTGATCAAATCCACATGTGCTCAAAATATACAGTATAGGAAGAATAATTTTTATCAGCTAGATGTATATAAGACTTTACATGCTCAGAATGTATAATCATGCAAAGCAGCATTTGATACAGAAATTGTTGAAACTCTGTTTCAAAACTTTACATGGGTTTATTGTCCATAAAGTCGATGGCTTTCTCTTCTCTGTAATAAAATGAGCAAAATCTTCATTGAGCTTTCTAGCATTCTTTTTTATAATATATCTGACAGTTCCCAGCAGCTATGCTCTGTCCCTGTTTTCCATACAATGTAATGTGATGCACCCCACAGATGTATTCCAGTTGCAGGATAGTTTGGAAATTCTGCATGGATTACTATAACATCATTCCACTGAATTTTTAAGTCATAATGCCCCAACCCTTTGTATAACTCTTTCATCATGACATTTAACACACAAAAATTGAATTGTGACCAAATTAATTTACAAATTTCCTACCAGTAGTGGTTTATCAAGCTGGAAATGACATTTTGCTGCACATTTCAAAACATGATAGCTAAAGGATGGGAAACAATACTTGTATTTTTGAAACTTAGGTATTCACCTTTCTCCCCAATTGCCAGGAAAACAGAGTGGAAGACAATGCCTTATTCAAACTGGAGCTACTTCTCCACCTGCCCCATTAAAGCTACTCTTAGTGTCGGTAATGTCATGTGACACTAGGTGAAGGTCTTGATCTTCTACAAACCAAATCTGTATCCCATCACTGATGGCCTCTCCTGTAAGAAAGGGATTTACGGAACCCAGATCCTTTTCCTTTCCCACAGAACCATGTTTTCTTCAGCCACAAAGAATAATCTGCATTAGTCTCCTTAGCTTTTTGAAGTTTCTGGACCAGGGACAAATAACTTGTAATGTTCCAGATGCTGATGGACAACAGCTCTCAGCAACTCTGACTTTATGAATGCTGGAAGCTCAGCAATATCTGGATAATGGTCCCTGTTCCTGGTCCCTGCTCTAGATTCTAGCACCCTATATTCCCAAAGATTTCTGGGTGTCTTAAATCTTATGTTGATTTAGAAATTCATATTCCTTCATCGTCATGATCATCAAGCCATTGTTCCTATTCCTTCCCACTTCATGATGTATATATGCAACAGGACAATGCAATGCAACTAACTCTTTTGGCTTTATAATCTCATGATGGCTTTGGTAATTCATGCTCCCATGGGAAGCAGAAGCCATTCTCGCAGCCAATTTTCTAGCTGTTTAACATTCATAGGTAAAGGTAAACGTTCCCCTCACACATA